AAAAGGAAAACTAGAGAGATGTCTCAGGGAGTAAAGCACATGCCCCACAAGTGTGAGGACCGGAGTTCAGATCCCAAGCCCACACAAAGCCAGGCATAGCAGCGAACATCTTTGTAATCCTAGCATTTCTACAATGAAATGGGAAGAATAGACAAGAAAGCTAGTCTGGTGTGCGCAAGGGTGAACAAGAGACCCCTTCTCAAACAAGGTGGAAGGCGAGGACTGTCACCTCAAGTTGTCATCTAACTTCCACACATGAACTGTGATAGAGCCACATGCCTGTACTCTCACAATGTGCACACATGTGAACACAAGGGTGGCAGTCAGGGGAAAAGAATAGAAAGAAGTTCTCTATAACCCTGAGAACTAAATTCAGACCAGTGTGCGTGTTCCAGTTAGAATTCACCATCGGATTCTTCACATGCTCCCGCAGAGGTCAGGGAATTCCCCACCACTAATAGTGCAGCAGCACAGGAAGACTGCGACAGGGATTACAGCTGGATGTGGGGGCTCACACCCAGGGGGCAGAGGCAGGGACAGATCTGCGAGTTCCAGGCCAACCAGGCTACAGACTAAGAGCTTTTCTCAGAGAACAAACAAATCACCATTATGAGCATTATATGGGCTTGCTGGGCTGGCAGACCTTCAAAAGATAATCTTTTCCACACCAAAATTTTTGAGAATTCTGGTTTGCATTCTTGCAATTCTGCCTTCCAGGGTCCCAGAGAAGCAAGCCCTAATGGCAGAGCAAGCACTTCTCTTTATCTCTGCTTTCTCTCAAAAAGCAATAATGTATGCAGACAAAGGCGAAACAGGCAAAGCAGCAGAGCTGAGCCCCTCTCCATTTTCAAGGCACAGACCCTGGTTACCAGTCAGTCGGCCTGACTCCTGATTATGCTGATACTATTACTTCAAGAAAACAAGGCAGTGGATATTTCCAGGTAAAAGTCCCATTCTTCTTGTTAAGTTGGGGGCATGGCCCCCGGCCCCCAGGCCCAGGAGTTGTATTTGTTTGGACTCCAAATCCCAGCCTGTCAGGTCCTGACCCTTCCCTGGGAACAATACCCCTGAGCCCATGCCTTCAGCACCAGGTCTTACTGTTCCCTGGGGATGATGTGTGCCTCATTCAGGACCAATCCCACAGGGTATGAAGTGGGCTCCTATAGGAGAAACACGGGGTTTTCGGGTCTGCATGGGCGCCCTGCTGTCCTGTCTCCCTGTCACCTGAGAGCGCCATTCTTAATAAAACGATGGGCATTTTGATTTGACCTAATTGGATTTCTTGTACCAGCAGAACTGCCTCTCTCTTATTATTTTTACTTAACACTTCTCACCTTAACAATTTTGATGGGGCTCATATCCATGCTCTGCTTTGTGTGCCCTCTCAGGAATGGAGGCTCCTCCTCAACCAGCTCAATTTCAAGATCTTCATCTAAAAGTCCAACAAAAGGAATTAGCCACAAACAAGACGGAAATGACCAATCATTTTCATTAAAACAATTCCAGGCTGGGGAGATGGCTCAGTAGTTAAGAGCACTGGCTGCTCTTCGAGAGAACCTGGTTCAATTCCCAGCAAATACATGGCAGTTCACAACTTCTTGTAACTCCCAAGATCTGACACCCTTACACAGACACACATGCTGGCAAAACACCAATGAACATTAAAAAACAGCAGCAGCAACAGTAACAACAACAACAAAAACCCCCAACTGACTGCTCTTCCAGAGGACCTGGGTTCAATTCCCAGCAACCACATGGCAGCTCACAACTGTCTATAAGTCCAGGGTCTGACACCCTCACACAGACATACATGCTGGTCAACACCAAGGCACATAAAAATAATAACACACACAAGTTCCAGGACAGTCAGGGTAACACAGTGAAACAAAAAACCAAAAAAAACAAACAACAACAAAAAAAAAACAAACCATGGACTGGACAGATGGCTCAGAGATTAAGAGCACTGGCTGCACTTCTAGAGGTCCTGAGTTCAATTCCCAGCACTCATATGGCACTCACAACACTGAAACTCCAGTTTCAGGGGGATCTGAGTTCTCACCCTCTGCTGCCCCCTGCTGTCCTCCTCAAGCACTGCATTTTTATTCTCAGCAGGTGGCAGGTGGATCTTTGTGAGTTCAAGGCCAGCCTGGTCTACCTAGCAAGTTCTAGGCTAGCCAGAGCTACATAATGGAGAGACTCTGCCTCAAAAAACATATAAACATATAATAAAAATTTTAAAACCTTTTAAAAATATTTTTTAAATGGTATTGGGCTGGGCAGTAGTGGTGCACAGCTTTAATCCCAGCACTTGGGAGGCAGAGGCAGGTGGATTTCAGTGAGTTCAAGGCCAGCCTGGTCTACGGATCAAGTTCCAGGATATCTGGGGCTGTTACAGAGAAAACCTATGTAAAAAAAAAAAAAAAAAAAAAAAAAAAAAAAAAAAAAAGAAAGAAAAGTACTGGATCCCAAAAAAGTAAAAGAACCCAATAGGTCCACTGGTAATCTAAACATATGCCTCTCTCTATCCAGGTGAGTGGCGAGCTGCAGGGACCAGACAAACACCGCCTTGGGTAAACTAGAAAGAGCCCACTCTACAGAGTGACACAGCTTGCCAGCCAGCCTCCCCAGCCCTCGCCCAGATAATTCAACAGCAGACTACCTTCCTCATCGTCCACTTTAGGGAGAATGCCGGTCTCCTCATCGAAGTCTGGAAATTCTTCTTTGGAAAGCACATTGGCAGCAATCATCTGGGGAAGGACAGAGGCAGCGCTTGTAACTAAGATCTGTGCCTAGGAGCAAGGCTCTTTCTCAGTGTTAGCTCAGACTTCACACAGGGAAACAAACTGCTTCTCCTGGAACAGCATGGCAGAGTCAAGAATGAGGTACACATCCATCCCCAGGGAACAGCAAGACATGGTGTTGAAGGCATGGGCCTAGGGGTATTGTCCCCAGGAAGGGTTGCCACAAGCACCCAGCACACATTGATCATCTGGCACGTAGCCCCAGTTATTCACTTAACACTTTCTCTGCCGTACTGGACAATGAGTTCCCCAAGGCAGGAACTATGAAATACTGTCTTTGCAGCCCTAGAGCTACACAGGGCTTGACACAGACTCACTACTGCTCACTGCAGAAAGAGGAAAATAACAAGGAAACCACAGAACAGCACTAAGTTTGATCTCTGCTCACTTTACACCACCACCACTGGCCCTGGTGGACGGATCAGGGGCACCAAGGCACACTAGGTGCAATGACTCAGCTCACACAACTAGTTAAGTGGACAGAAGCCACCACGGGGTGCCATGTCTAGGCCCACACTCCTAACCCCCATACTACATGCTGAGTGCCTCTAAGCCCCAACCTGTTTGATCTCCCACTTCTCTGGGTCAGAGATCCGGGTGAGCCGCTTGCGCTCCAGTGAGTCATCTTCTACTTCAGGAGCACTGACAAGCGAGAGGTGGGTGGGTCTGTCAGGGTTCCGCATTGATGTCTCTTCATTGGTCTCCCCGACAAGGTTTCGACGTCGATTTGGGTTTAGATCCTCTCCTGTCTCTTGATCCACATCCTAGAGCCAGTAACAAAGGTGCTGTTCACGCGCTGTCTTCCAACACACCCCAGGCCAGCAGCTGTGGAAACAGCCTGAACACATCACCTACCTTCATGCTCAGGCTGGTCTTCGTCCCAGTGAAGGACAATACTTTGACCTTCACCCTCTGGCCTTTGCTCACAACATCAGCCACATTGGCCACCCGGCCTTCCCGTCGGAGCTCAGAGATGTGCACGAGGCCTTCCCACCGCTTCCTGAGAGAAAGTCAATCAGTTCTGGAATATGTCTAAGCAAACCTGTCCCCTAAACTTCAACTTGTTGTGTGTTATTTTGATAGTGTTCTGACAAATAAAGCTTGCTTAGAGTCAGAGGGTAGAGCTAGCCACTAGCTAACCATAGACGTCTGGAGGACTATAGAGAGAGGACAGAGGACACAGGATGTAGAAAAGTGGGGCTGAGAGAGGATCTCGGCCTTTTTGGACGAGGAATAAGAGGTAGGAAGCAGCTGGTCCTCTGACTCTCTGAGCTTTCAGGTTCTTACCCCGATATCTGACTCCCGATTTTTAACTGATAAGGATTAATTAGATTAGCACTTCATCTACTCCTACTGGAACTGCACAAAAGTCTTCACAGGCCTGAAACCTCTGCACTAGGAGGCAAGGCAGGAGACCATGAGTTACAGTTCAGCCTGGGATATACAGTAAGCCTGAGGCTGCACCCACTGTCTGTAACCATGAGACTCTGTCTCAAAAAGATAAAGGAGATGGCCCAGTTGGTGAAGGGCATGAGGACCCGAGTCTGGATCTCCAACATCCACAGAAAAAAGCCATTACCACCCTCCCAAAGAAAAGATACTGCCAGAGCGGGAAGGGAGGGATCAATTCTCAACTGTCACAACCAGCAAAAGGCAGATCTCCTGACGGCAGAGGAAGGGATAAATGGCTCTGGGATATTTCAAAATCAAAAAAGAATCTAAGGCTAAGAATGTGGCAGGGAACTTGTCTAATATACTCAAGGCCTTAAACTTGAAGCACAGCACCACAAAACAAACAAAAGCAAACCCAAAGTCAACAAAAAGGCTGGACACTGTGGCGCAGACCTTTAATCCCAGCAACTGGGAGGCAGAGATAAGTGGATCTCTGTGAGCCTGAAGCCATCGTGGTCTATACAGAGAATTCTAGGACAGTCAGAATAGCCAGACTCCATCTCAAAAATAAAATACAATTGTTTTTAAAAGTAAAACTTTCTAAGAATGCTGGTATACCTGAATAACTAAAGTATAACCGTGCATAGCTTCTTAGCATACAAACACACACATACCCCTACCTCAGCAGTAAAAGACATTTTGCCATCACTGATATGAAAGAGTACCAACCATTACCTTAGGCCCTCCAGCTGCACAAAGCAACCAAATTGCATGATGCTGGTCACTTTGCCATTGTAAATGTCCCCAATGGCAGGCTCTTCAGGGGGAGGACGGTCCACATGCTTGTCCCGCCATCTGTCAATATTCCTCTCCCCATACTTTTCCCGATCCTTCCGATCTTTGAAGGGACTCTGACTTCTGCTCCTGGACCGGTATCTAGACTTCCCCTTAGTCCTCTCCCGGGTCCTGGAATGTGACCGAGAGCGGGAACGGTGTCTCCGCTTATGGTCTCTGTCTCTATCTCGTTCTCTGTCTCTGTCTCGGTCTCTGTCTCGCTCTCGGTCCTTGTCTCGGTCCCTGTCCCGGTCTCTGTCGCGGTCTCGGCTCCGACTCCTCTTCTTCTTCTTTGTCCTGTCCCTAATAAATCAACAAGAACCTGTCTGAAAAATAAATCAACCCAATTTCACCTCTGCATCCCCAAGCACTCAGCACAGCACCACTGTGTGTAAGCTGGGCACCCTCTAACTGCTGACCTGGACAGGCATTTCAACGACCACCACATCCCCACAGGTCAGTCAGGACTCAGATCACAGAGAGCGCTGGCCTCCTTCAGCTCCGGTTTCTAACTTCTGAACACCTTTTTAGCATGGAGCAATGAAAACCCAATCTAGTGCATAGCCAGTTGAGAATCTACACACTTGCCCCAGGGTTTGCTTAACAGGTCCATGAAATTCAACTGTCACAGCCTACTAAATATGCAAATGAACAGGATAAGGATACAAGGGACAAACCTGTGCTCAGTGTCTCTTTGTTTCTCTTGGCCTGCTGCACTGGGCATTAAAGCTTCCAGCTCTTTCAAGACATCCACAGCGACTTTCACATCTTCCTCATCCAGCATGGTCTGCAAGGTCAGAGGTCAGCAAAGTAACGAGAAGAAGAAGAAACAATCTGCCCACTGTCACATCACTAGCCTGCAGTGTGGAGGTCACTTCTCTCCTTCCAACATGATGTGGGTCCGGGGATCAAACTCGGGTTGTCAAGCTTGGTGGCAAGCACCTTTACCCGCTGAGCCATCTCTCCAGCTCCAGACATCAAAACTTTTCAAAAGCAACATTCTTTCTGCATTCCCCATTTAATTACTTTCCACAGTGCTTACTACTATTCACTGTGACACAGACTATTAGCCCTCTGTGCTGAAAATATCCTGGACTCAGCCAATTGTGTATTTACAGGTTTCCTTGACTGCCTAGGCAATGCTTACATACTGCTTACATTATATTGGGTAGTCTAGAAATGACGTAAAGCATGTAAGAGGATGCATGGATGCTATATGTCATTTTATTTTTGTTTTTTTGGTTTTTGTTTTTGGAGACAGGGTTTCTCTGTAGCTTTGGAGCTTTATATGTCATTTTGTCTGAGGAACCTGAGCATCAGATCTTGGTACCTGGGGTTATGGAGCCAGCCCCCTTGTTTACTGTCCATCTCTCTTTCCCACTACTTACATGCTAACTTCCTACTCTCCTTCCCAAAACAGCATATAATCTCCAAAAAGGCAGAAAATCTTATCTGTTCTCTTTTTGTTGCTTACTCGGTACTTAGAGTAGTATGTGGCACACAGCGGTATGATGAACCAGCCTGCCTCCATCTTGGGCTTAAAAGCCTTCTCATAGTAAAGACAAACTAGGTCCATTCCTGTTTATGATTAAATCTCTGTTTCTTAAGGACTGGGCTGTGTCCCACTTATAACTACATATGGCTCTGCACTGCCTGTTCCAGAAGTGGCAATCATGTCTTTGTTTTAAAAAGACCTTCTGATCACCTTGCAGCTGTGCCTTTGTTTCAGGAGGTAGTTGTAACTATCCTGCAACCCTATCTATGTTTCAAAAGGTTAGGACCTCTTTGTTATGGTCTGCTTCTGTAACCACACCTATCTGCCTGCCAAATCTCCCCATTTGGAAACCCCTACCCCAAAACTACAAAAACCTATCTTCTCCACGTCCAATGCTGACCTCTTGGATCTTGACTTAGGGAGAGGCAGCCCAGGTGCACCAATAAAAAAGCTTGCTTTAATTAATTTGGTGATGCTTTGGGTCGGTGGTTTTTCTCCTCAAATCTCTGAGACTAATAGGTACTCAGGAAATTCTATAATTTATTAATCATTTTTATTTTTTTGGAAACAGTCTCTCTCTGTAGCCCTGGCTGTCCTGGAACTTGATATGTAAACCAGGCTGGCTTTACATAGAGATCCTTGTCTACCTCCCAAATGCTAAAATTAAAGGGATTCACCAGCACACCTAGCCTAAAAGAAAAATATTACAAATGAAAACATTTCAAAAATTACATCTTTTAATATGCAATAGAGAAAAAATTTTCTAATTTTTACACTGGGCACCTTTGTCAGAATCTTAAGTCTTTTCATATCCCGCACCACTGCTTCCCTGAGTCCCCAAGCTCACGGTCCCTAACTATCATTCTCTGGACCCTTTCATGGTCTTACCCGGAAAAACATACAGCAGGCAAAGTTAAAATTCATACAGTCACTAAGGAGATGAAAAGAAACAGAACATACACGAGGGCAGACATTGCCCAAATAGCATCCGTACCCGCACTGAAGGGTTGTCTGGCTGGCAAAGGACAGGGAAGAGTTCCTTCAGCTTTTCCTTTTCAGTTTTGGGTTTAACAACTGGATCTTAGTTCATTAAGGAGCATGAAAATGTAAAAAAAAAAAAAAAAAGAGAGACATATTTAATAGTATTACAGGTTAATAAAATAACTTCATCATTAAAATTTTATCAAATTAAAAAACATATAGCATTTTGCTACATAGTAATCACAAAATTACTAGAAACAATTTAATTCTCTGAATCCAAGGACTGAAAGCCTCTACAAGCTCTGTGGCCATCACGGAGGGGAGGGGCATGTCAGTCCTCATTTGAATGTCTCAGAATCTAACTAGACCATTCCCTTGCTTAGCAACAGGGGAGGGCAAAGTGCAATTTACAGGGTAGTCACCTTCCAGACCCTTTGAGGCTCAGCTCAGCTGGGAGCCCTGCTTACCTTTGCTAGTAGAAGGCTTTGCCGGAGGCCGCATGGTTTGGATAAGCCGCAACAGGTTGCTAATAAGAGAATCCTTTGAAGAAAAGAAGCACAAGACAGAGATGTCATCCTCTGGATCAGTGGTGAAGTGTACAGGGGAAGGCAAAGGATGTGCTGCAGGCAAGGGTGCTTGTGCAGTTGAACTGAGCTGACCACAGCAAGACAGCATGGAAGGCCACCCTGGGATAGCATGAAGCCAGAGTAGTAACTTAGACCAGTGGTTCTCAACCTAGGGGTCACAACCCCTTTGGGGGCAAATGGCACTTTCACAGGGGTCAGCTAAGACCATCAGAAACACAGGTATTGCAATTCATAGCAGTAGCACAATTACAGTTTTGAAGCAGCAACAGAAATCATTTTATGGCTGGGGTCCCCACAACATGAGGAGCTGTATTAAAGGGTCACAGAGGCAGGAAGGCTGAGAACCATTGGCTCAGATCACACCCAGAGACCATTTAATGTCCCATCTTTTAAAACTGCCTCCTACACCGCTCATTCCTGACTTCCTGAGCACAGAACAAGAGCGTAAACATCAGCAGAGACTTCATGATGGAAATTCTACCGCATCCTAGGAAAGCCACACTGGAAACCCGGCTCCCTCGCCAGCATGGCACATTACACAATGACAACTTGTTTAACTGGTATGTACAAACTGTCCCCTTCCTACCTGAAATCCTTTAGTCCTATCAAAATTTAAATTCAGTAGCAACACCAAAACAGAAAGAAAAAAAATCCATGAAGACTCTTCAGATATACATACTGTGAATTCTGCTCCATTTTTGACCAGAGAAGACTTAAAAGTATCAAAGGTGGTATTTTTCTCAGCAAGACTGATCACAAACTCAGCTGTAAATGACAAAAATTTTAAATGAATTAAAAATGGGAAATCCATCTAGAGATTGTTTCAAATGTTAAAAACTAATCAGGTTAGTTGGGCAGTGGTGGCGCATGCCTTTAATCCCAGCACTCGGGAGGCAGAGGCAGGCGGATCTCTGTGAGTTTGAGGTCAGCCTGGTCTACAAGAGCTAGTTCCAGGACAGCCTCCAAAGCTAAAGAGAAACCCTGTCTCAAAAATACAAAAACAAAACAAAAAAACTAACCAGGTCACCCAATAGCCTTAAAAACAATCTACTTAGTGCAAAAGAAAAAAAAATCATTATTTTAAAAATAATTTATTTCATGTGTATGGGTGTTGCAGTTTGAAAGAAAATGGCCCCCAAATAGGAGACACTATTAGGAAGTGCGGCCTTGTTGGAATTGTGGTCTTGTTGGAGAACATGTCACTGTGGAGGTGGGATTTGAGGTCTCATATAAGCTCAAGATAACACCCAGTGTCTCAATTCACTTCTTGCCTGGACAAGACATAGAACTCTCAGCTCCGTCTCCAGCACCATGTCTGCCTGCACACCACCATGTCCCACCATGTCGTTAATGGACTGAATCTCTGAACTGCAAGCCACCCAATTCAATGTTTTTTAAAGAGTTGCTGTGGTCATAGTGTCTCTTCACAGCGATGGAAACCCTAACTAAGACGCGTGTTTTGCCTGCATGTATACCACAATCGCGCCTGGTGCCTGCAGAAGCCAAAGAGGGTGCTGAGCCTCTGTGACTGGAGCTACAAATGGCTGTGAGCCACCACATGGGTATGGGTGCTGGAATCTAACTCACATCCTTTGGAAGAGTAGCCCTGCTCTTAGCCACTGAGCCATTTCTCCAGTCCCAAGAAACTACTTTTATTTAGTTTTTGAAGCTCAAGGAAAACTTTATTAGTGTTTGAAAGCAAATAACAGGACAAGCAAGCTGAAATTCCTGGCAGCTGCTTGGAGAGGGAGATGAAATCCATACATTTTAGTTCAAGCATGGGGGTCAGAGAAACAGTGAGAAACCAGAGCTGAGGATCTCTGCTAGTAGCTGAAAATAAGCTAAAGAAACAGCAAAAACATGCTTGCTACCAGGCCAGATTGTGAGTTCAGAGAGTTCCCATTCAAGGTTCTTCTGTCCCAAGACAAAGGACTGCATCAGGGATAGACATCAAAATAAAGACAGTAAATTACAGGAAAATCAGGGCTGCGGGGATGGCCCAGCAGTGAGATGGAGCCCTTATGAAAATGAGAGGGTGTGCTCTTCCAAAGGACCTTGGTTTGATTCCCAGAACCCACATAACAGCTCACAACAATTTGCAACTCCAGTTTCAAGGCATCCATAGCCTCTGTGAGCTCCATGCACACAGCTGACACACAGACATACATTCAGACAAAACACTCATGCACATACAACAAAATGAAATGAAATGAAATGAAATACTTGGGTCTAGAGAGAAGGCTCACACGTTAATAGCACTGACTGCTCTTCCAGAGAACTCAGGTTCTATTCCCAGCACCCACAAGCTGGCCCTCAGCTGTCTGTAATTCCAGTCCCAGGGGACCTGAAACACTCTTCTGGCCTCTGCAGGCCCCAGGCACCCATGAGAGGCACAGACACACATGCAGACAAAACACCCAACTACATAAAGGAAAAAAATATTTAAGAGTAAAAAACAGGTGACACCTTTTACTCATAATCTTTCTACCACCCATGTCTAAATCTTCGTCCATCCACAGCCATTTTCTCCTGTAACAAATGAAGCAACCCTGACCCATCAAATGGAATTGCTCCCCACATGCTCCTGACTCACAAACACACCCTCTCTTAATTTTTTTTTGGGTTCCCTAGTCATAGTTTGCCCCTAGACAGACAAGAATATGAGAATAGTCAAGAACACGGCTCACAGCACAAACGCTGACTACTGCCTCGGGGTAGCGATGACCTAACAAGATAATGAAGATGGAGAGCTATCCCAAATATCTCGTGAGCTTCTAGAAAATATCAGCCCTAATCGCCACCATCATCTTCGCGGGGGCTGCTGCAGCTATTGTTAAAGCCGTATAACCACTCAGAGCTGAAAAACAATGGTAGCCCCAGCCTTCACTGGCAGCTCTGAGAAGCGGTTTCTAACAGTGCGGTCTGGAGGGTTCTCAGGCAGAGGCCACTGCCGCAGGTTCCCGGAGCCCGAGGTCCCGATGACAAACACACAACCGTCAACCACTTTTCTCTTGCCTCCCTCGACCCCAAACTCAAAGGCCAGAGGGAGCTCCTTCAGCTCACCCAGATCCTTGTCGTTGATGCCCAAGTGATTGTCCAGCTCCGTGCAAACTTTCGACACCAAAGACAAGTACTCGAGTTTAGCGAGCTCTTCCGCGGGGCCGGGCTCCGAGCCCATCAGGACCCCGGCGGTAGCCACGGCCACAGCCATCGCTACAACTTCCTTTCCGTCTTCTTCCGGTCGGCCAGACCGTGAAGCAAGAGTTTCCACTTCCGGGTCGGCGCACGTCTCTTGTTTACTGTGATCTGAAGAACGTTGAGCGCCACGGCACGAATCAGCGAGATCAGACCGGAAGTCCTCATAGAAGGGCCACACACGCTGAGTTACGCCGGACGTTGCATGACGCCCTCTACCGGGCGAGAGGACTCTCTCCTTAACGTTCACGCTCCGCGCGCTTCCGCACTGCGTCAGCAGAGGGCGACCGCGGCCTGTGCAAGGGGCCCCTCGAAGACGCGCGCCAGGACAGTCTGCGCCTGCGCATTAGAATCTTCGTGGGAACTACGGAACAGACCGAAATTCAGCAAAATTGACGTGTATAGTCCCAACGATCGTCCCAGTTTGTGACTTCTTGTCCTTGTCAAGCCATATCAAGTGACTCTTATACCAGCAGATGACGAATTCTGGTTTCTCTTCTGTAAACTGGAATAATACGGTCTAAATAGCTTAGGTAAAGACTAAATGAAATGGCTATGCAGAGGCCGGCCCACTGTGAATGGTAGTTGCTAGAACACCCCAAAGCTGAGACAGTGTCCCGGTAAAGCTGGTCTCAGCACTCCTGTGGCCATTACCCTCGGTTCTCTCGGAACCCGGTCCCTACGTGTCAGCTGTGCTGTGAGCCTGAGGTCATAAATCCAGGTGTCCCAACTCTTACTTTTCCCGTACAGTGGGTGTGAAGGGTTACCCACATCCCGACACTCAGTGTGAGGCAGTAAGGAAACTCCTCCCCCAAAGTGAACAGCCCTCCCATCATTCAAAAGAAAGAAAACGAGTCCCCTCTGCTCCTTTTAGCTCTGCCTCCGTAGAACCGTGTCTTTGAACTCTCTCCAGCGCCTCAACGATAGAGTAAAGAATTACCGCAAGATGGGCATGGCGGGGCTCTTCCTTTAATCCCAGCTCTTGAGAAGCAAAAGCAGGCCAGTCTCTGAGTTGGAGGCCAGCCAGAGCTACACAGTGAGACAGGCTGGGAAATACCAGAGTAGGGGTTCTTCCTGCCTCCAACAGCTCCATGCTTCTAGGTTCCCAAGGACTTACTTAGTCCTATGCCATCTGAGTTCCTGATGCCGTTCCCTTTTCTCCCTCCTTTTCCCCATGAATAGAACGGGAAGGCCTGCCTCGATGGCCTGCTAACCTGGCAGTATGGATTTGAGATTTCAGGAGCTTGGCCCTCCTTTCCTTGCACCTACTTGCTACTAAAACTTCCTGTTTCTATCTAGCTGCACTTTTAACATTTTAACAGGATAGAGAGCAGGTGTTAGTCGGTTGACGTGGTTGGTTTTTCAAGATTGGGTTTCTCTGTGTAACCTTGGCTGTCTTGGAACTCACTCTGTAGACGAGACTAGCCTCTGCCTCCTGAGTACTGAGAATAAAGATGTACACCACCACAGTTGGGCAGGAAGCTGGTTGTTGTTGTTGTTTATTTGTTTGTTTGTTTTTGTCTTTCTGAGACAGAGTTTCTCTGTAGCTTTGGAGCTTGTCCTGGAACTTGCTCTTGTAGCCCAGGCTGGCCTTAAACTCACAGAGATCCGCCTGCCTCTGCCTCCCGAGTGCTGGGATTAAAGGCACCACCACCGCCCAGCTCAGGAAGCTGTTTTAAAAGCTCTGTCAGAAAAGACTCTAACTGGGCATGTTGGCATATGCCTTTAATCCCAGTACTTGAGAGGAAGTGGCAGGCGGATCTCTCTGACTCTGAGGCCAGCCTGGTCTACATAGTGAGTTCCAGGACAGCCAGAGCTAAGAGAAAAGACACTGTCTACCAGGTGTGGTACATGCCTGACAAATCCCAGCACTTTACAGGAGACAGGGAAGCCATAGCTTCATGGTGAGTTTGAAGTAACCTGTGCCGCACAGCAAGAAAGACCCTATTAACAAACAAAAAACTATAGAATCATAACATGTAGTCTTAGTAAACACTGTATGAGCTTTTAGAATTGTTTGGGAACTTTTGCATGTGTGTCTCAACAGTAAATATGAACAGAAAGATGTATTTCGTATTTTAAGGACTGGGGTTGTAACTCAGTTGATCGAGTGCTTGCTTAGCGTTGAACCCTGGGTTCAATCCCCAACATTGTCTAAAAGCAGGCAAGGTGGAGCCAGAGAGATGGCTCAGTGGTTGGGAGTGCTGACTATTCTTCCAGAGGACTTGGATTCCATTCTCAGCACCTACACAGCAGCTAACAACTGTAAATGTAAGACCTTTGAGGTGCAAGTAGCCAGGCCCCACCCGCAGACTACTCTAATGGCCATTTCCAGCCCCTGAGATGCAGGCAGCCAAGCTCCATCCTACAGGGAAAAAGAGTCCCAGATCAGGCCAGATCCCACCAATCCCTGATCTTGGAAAGAAAAGCGGGGGGGGGGGGGGGGGGGGGGGGGGGTATAGCTGAACACAGTGGCACAGAGCTGAAATCCTGGCACATATAGGTGTTACTTTGCCTGCCCTCCCTTCCTTCATCTCTCCTCTCTTCCCTCTCTCCCTCCCTTGATGATAAAGTCTAGTAAGCTTGAGGCCCTCAACTGGAGATCCCTAGCACTAAGAACTAAAGCAAACAGCCTATAGTCACTACTACTTATTCATCACTTGAGTGGAATAGGAAATTATCAGCCGGCAAGGCAGAGGAATAGGTGAAAGTACTCGTGGCCGAGCCTGACAACTGGAGTTTGATCCCCGGGACCCACACGAAGGTAAGGAGAACTGACTGCTGCCAGCTGTCCTCTGACCTTCACACACCGTGGCATTTACAAGCCCACACCCATACACACACAATAATAAGTATAGTAAACAATTGTTCCTGGGGCTGCAGAGATGGCCGAGTGGTTAAGAGCACTCACTCCTCCCGTAGGGGATGGGTTCCATTCCCAGTACCTATAGCAGGAGGCTCACAAATGTCTGTAACTCCAATTTCAGGGGAACTGTGTTGTAGAACGTTATTTTAACAGGCAAAGATGTATTACATTTGTTTATGTTGCAGAATGTTATTTTTAACTGTAAAGGTATGTTAGTTTTGCTTATGCTGCATTTGTTTAATTATGTAAAGATATGTTGAATTTGTTTTAGCTTGTCTGCCTAAGGCACCTGATTGGTCTAATAAAAAACTGCACTGTCAAGCTGGAAGATCTGAGCCCAGACAGGTGGATCTTTGTGAGTTCGAGGCCAGCCTGGTCTACAGAGTGAGTTCCAGGACAGGCTCCAAAGCTACAGAGAAACCCAGTCTTGAAAAACCAAAATTAATTAATTAATTAATTAAAAATAAATAAATAAAGCCGGGTGGTGGTGGCATACACCTTTAATCCCAGCACTTGGGAAGCAGAGACAGGCGAATCTCTGTGAGTTCGAGGCCAGTCTGATCTACAAGAGCTAGTTCCAGGACAGGCTCCAAAAGCTATGGAGAACCCTGTCTCAAATAAATA